CATTTGGAAACTTGGGCATTGCCCAAGGGCCTGGGGGTCAGAAGAGGGCCCCATGAGATGCCCCTGGTACCTTTTTCATAGGCTGTTTTGATCCCCTATTGCCCGGGGCCCCATGAGTTTTCAGTCCGCCCCTGGTGTCAATGCTTTTTATTAGCACTGATCACTATATTAGTGTCAATGGGATGTCAGTGGCAGTTAGTTCCCCTCCCCAGTGTCGGAATGCCCGCCGCAGTCCTGCTATAATTCGCTGATTGCTGCCATTACTAGTATAAGAAAAACAAAAATTCCAGTATATATACCGCCATTTGTAGAAGCTATAACGTTCACGTAAACCAATTAATTTACACGTATTGGGATTTATTTTCAGCAAAGACATGGAGCAGAATGCATTTTGGCCAAAAATTATGACAAAATTTGATTTTTTTAAAAAATTTTTTACTGGGTATGCTTTATAGCAAAAAGTCTAATTTTTTTTTTTTCAAAATTGTTGGTCTTTTTTTCGTTTACAGTGCAAAAAATAAAAAACACACAGGCGATCAAATACCACCAGAAGAAAGCACTATTTGTGGGAAAAAAAAGGACATAAATTGTATTTGGGTGCAGCGTTGCATGACGGAAAGGACAAGAGAGATTCCACTAAGGGATTATTATTTTATTAATAATAAAATATGATTTTATATAATAATACAAATTTGGAACCATGTAAAATGTAAAAGTTGCACTATACATTTAATTAAAATAGAAAAAAACTACAGCCATAACTATAAATTGGAGATTATGGAAACTAGCATAATGTTTTTGCTGTAATTTTATTTTATTTTTGCAAGTTGTTGTTTTATATGCACAGAAAAATCCCTTCCTCTGATTCTGTCATTGAGGAACAGTGCCCTGATTTTAATCTTCTTTCAGTTCTGTGTCTCTGGAAATGATCCAACTTTTTCATACTGACTTGAGCATGCAGGACATTCTAACTTGTTCTCCAGGCACTATAAATCCATGTTTATTAAAGAGTAACATTTAAAATGCAAAATACTCTGGTATAATACAGTCCATTGGACACATAATGATGAAGAAAATGGTAGTGCCCCATGATTTAGCAAGACAGCAGCTTGCATACATTCGCATGCTTAGCAGTTTAGCAAAGTGTCCCAAGAAGACATCTGTAACTCTTTCATGAAAGACTATGTTATATGAACATCCTTACTGCAAAACACAATCTGAAATCAAAATGTCATAATTCTACAGCCTAGAACAGGGTTCTCCAAACTTTTGAAACAAATGGCCAGTTTACTTTAGGGGGGCTAGATTGTGGCCAGTGGGAGTAGAAAATGCCCTGGCATCAGTCGGAGTAAACAATACCCTAGGCTTGGTGGTCATTGGAAGGAATAGTGCCCCATCGTTGGTGTCAGTAGGATAATGAGCTCCCCATTTCTGGTATCATTGGGAAGAACAGTGCCCCATTGCTGGTGTCAGTGGGAGGAACAGTGCCCTATCACTGGTGTCAGTGGGAGGAACAGTGCCCTATCACTGGTGTCAGTGGGAGGAACAGTGCCCTGTCGCTGGTGTCAGTGGGAGGAACAGTGCCCTATCACTGGTGTCAGTGGGAGGAACAGTGCCCTATCACTGGTGTCAGTGGGAGGAACAGTGCCCTATCACTGGTGTCAGTGGGAGGAACAGTGCCCTGTCGCTGGTGTCAGTGGGAAGAACAGTGCCCTATCACTGGTGTCAGTGAGAGGAACAGTGCCCTATCACTGGTGTCAGTGGGAGGAACAGTGCCCTATCACTGGTGTCAGTGGGAGGAACAGTGCCCTATCACTGGTGTCAGTGGGAGGAACAGTGCCCCGCCGTTGGGATCAGTGGAAGGAACAGTACCCCATCGTTGGGTTTAGTGGGAAGAACAGTGCCCCATCATTGGGTTCAGTGGGAAGAACAGTGCCCCATCATTGGTGTCAGTGGGAGGAATAGTGCCCAATTGTTCGTGTCAGTGGGAAATAGCGTCCCATCGTTGGTGTCAGTGGGAAGAATAGTGCTCCATTGTTGGTGTCAGTAGGAGGAATAGCTTCCCATCATTGGTGTCTGTGGGAGGAATAGTGCCCCATCGTTGGTGTCAGTGGGAGGAATAGTGTCCCGTCATTGGTGTCAGTGGAAAGAAAAGCGCCCCATCGCTGGTGTCAATGGAAGGAATTTATTTATTTACTATTATTTATTTCCGGTACTTATTTAGCGCCGCCAATTTACGGAGCGCTTTACATATATATATATTGTACATTCCCATCAGTCCCTAACCTTCAAGGGGCATACAATCTAAGGGCCACTTCCGGCCCAGGGGCCGCAGTTTGGAGACCCCTGGGCCTAGAAGATGACTATGATTACTGCAAACAAACCAAATACACATAAGAAACTTACTGAGCTTTTTTAAGAGAAACATGACAACATATTAGCGTTACAGTAGGATCAGTCATCCAGCGCACAGGTCAAATATGCCAAACTGCCAAGCTTAGGGGATCCTACACCCAGCAGTCACTCGCTTGTCAAAATCACTGCCACTGGCACTACTCCTGTTCCTTGTAACTGAAGGGAGGCACCCCCATCCCCACAGCAAACCATTGTGCCCAGGGCAGCCGCCCCTTCCTCCCACCCCTTGTCCCGGCCCTAAGAAAGATCTTCAGAGTTAGGATCTCTGGCTTTTAGTGTAGCCTCCTGCTGATGACTATACAGTAAGTGCTAGAGTGCCATCTAACAGCAGCTCCAAACATCGAATTGCCCATTGGCAAAGTGACGTTAAGTGCATGCATGCTAGGCAAAGTGTAACATTGGTATTTAGTATCTTTAAAAAAAAAATGAGCAAGCTTTCATCCTCCTTTCTTCCTAGAAGGAAGGAGCCATCACTGTTCAGGCATCATCTGAGAACAGCATCTATCCTTGTGGAACTAAGATGCTGACCCAGGGTGACAATGCATTATCAGGGGCGGACTGATAACTCATGGGGCCCCGGGCAATAGGGGATCATGGGGCCCCTATGTCCTTGCCCAAACTCAAAAAAAGCCTATGAAAAAGGTGTAGCAAACTTGCTCATCAGAGATGGACCGGAGTTCCCCTTTTTTTTTTATTAGAAGTATTCCTCAATCCTTCCTTCCCTACCCCCTCCCTTCCTGAGAGGCACAGGGACAGATGTGTGTTAAAAGTTGCTGGCAGGCTGGAGCAGCAGGGGGGCCCAGCGCTACAAAGCCCCCCCATGAACAGCAGACACTCTGTCCCAAGGCCTGTGAAAACTCACACCCCTCCTAATCAAGATAAGATAGTTTTTTCCTGGACTTGAAAGAAGTTGAAAACCTCATAAAACCTACCAGCCAGGTGACAGAAGTTAAATGACATTGTTAGGAATGGACTGGCCAGCAATGGTGGGACTCACCTGCCTTTTGATCTGCAGTACCAGGGCTGGCCAGCGGGTGCTCCCAGCAATCAGAGACTCAACCTTTCAGCCAGCTAACACCTGGAACTGATGATACTGGGGTATTTAAGGGATGGCCAGACTTGCAGACTCTGCCTTGGTGTTGTGTTTGTCCTGGGCCCTGTATCTGTCCTGCATCCTGTTTCTGTTCCTTTGCTGACTTCTCCTGCTCTGATCCTGGCTTGTGACCCTGACCATCCTTCTGTCTGACCCTCTGTACTACGCTGCTTGCTACCTGCTGAACCTGGCCTGTGACCCCGACCATTCTCTGCTTGCTCCCCCTGTACCTACCTGCCCATTGATATTGACCCGGCCTGCCTGACGACACTTGCTTGTATATACTGTTATCTGTGGGTGGTTGGTTTGGTTTGTTTGCACTGTGTTATGTTTTAGTATTGCACTGCATTTATGTTTGTATTGTTAGTGTTAATAAATTGTATTGTTTATCACATATCTGAAGTCTGCGTTTCCCTGCATCAGTCACACACCTCTGGTCATACCTGGGAGCCCTGACATTACACCAAGGCCAATCCTGACCAGAAGTGGCTGCACAGGGAAGCCATCTTGGCTTGTTGATGGGAAGGATGGATCTGGATGAGGTTGAATATTTATATCTGCTAGTGTTTGATGACAGGGAGTATGCTTATCAGACTCTGAAGGAGTATACCCGGGATGAATTGCTAGAATGTATACGGCTCGCTCATGTTCTAGTAGATCAGGGCATAGAGTTCTCTGAGGTGCAGCCTTTGATTGAAGTTTGTGCTGAATTGGTTTCATCTGGTTCCCCCGAATGCAGGGATGAATTTTTGCCACCATTTAGTGCAGACCAGGTAGAGTCCCTGGTGTGGTTATTAGAGGATGATGTGGGTTACTTTCTGGAGCGTTATTCCCACATGTTCACCACAGGTACTAAGAGACTGTATAAACGCAGTGCAGTCATTGACCAGACAGGCTTTGTGTAAGCTCAGCTTTGTTCAACCCATACTGCAGACATGGACAGATTTGTTGCACCCAGCCTCAGTCAGCTTACAAAGACCCAGTCCTGCTTCTAATCTATTTCCTCAAAACTCTATTCCTGCATTCCCAACAGCTCCTCCTGCCCTGCTATCTACCGCATGTCAGTACCCTGTTCCCACTCGCTGCACCTATCCTGCCTTTAACCCTGTAAAAAAGCCCTCTGTAGCAACCGCTCCCTCTCCTGTTCCATCCTCCAGTTCTTCTCTGTCTCCAGCTGCTCCATTCGTTTGCAGACCTGCGTTTACTTGCAGTGCTCCAGTAGTTAAAACCAGAAAAAAGCGAAAATTCTTTCCAACCAATACCATCCTGCCAGTATCCAAAACCGGTGAGCCTGCCTTCCGTGGTTCAGCCTGAAGCCTCTCTTCAGCCTGATGCCGGTACGCAGCCTGATGCCTCTCTTCAGCCTGATGCCTGTACGCAGCCTGATGCCTCTCTTCAGCCTGATGCCTCTACTCGGCCTGAAGCCTCTACTCGGCCTGAAGCCTCTACTCGGCCTGAAGCCTCTACTCGGCCTGAAGCCTCTACTCGGCCTGAAGCCTCTACTCGGCCTGAAGCCTCTACTCGGCCTGAAGCCTCTACTTGGCCTGATGCCTCTACCCAGCATGATGAACTGATCCAGCCTGACGATCCTATTAGGCCAGTTGACTCGATGCCCGCTGTTGATCCAGATGATCCGGTCACCTGATCCGGTGCCCGCTGTCGAGCCAAATGACCTGATGCCTGGTGACCCAGTGCCCGCTGTCATACCTGGTGACCCGATGCCCGCTGTCGAGCCAGACAATCTGGTACCTGATGACCCGGTGCTCACTGTCGTGCCTGTTGACTCGGAGCCCACTGCCTTGCCAGATGACGCGGTGCCCGCTGTCAAGCCAAATGACCTGATGCCTGGTGACCCAGTGCCCGCTGTCCAGCCAGACGATCCAATGTCTGACCCAGTGCCCGCGGTCATACCAGTTGACTCGGAGCCCACTGCCTTGCCAGATGACGCGGTGCCCGCTGTCGAGCCAGACAATCCGGTACCTGATGACCCGGTGCTCACTCACTGTCGTGCCTGTTGACTCGGAGCCCACTCCCTTGCCAGATGACGCGGTGCCCGCTGTCAAGCCAAATGACCTGATGCCTGGTGACCCAGTGCCCGCTGTCCAGCCAGACGATCCAATGTCTGACCCAGTGCCCGCGGTCATACCAGTTGACTCGGAGCCCACTGCCTTGCCAGATGACGCGGTGCCCGCTGTCGAGCCAAATGACCTGATGCCTGGTGACCCGATGACCGCTGTCCAGCCAGACGATCCAATGTCTGACCCAGTGCCAGCGGTCATCCCAGTTGACTCGGAGCCCACGGTTGTGCCTGGTGACTCGGTGCCCGCCGCCCGCCTGGGGGCCTGAGACCTGTCGTTCCGCCTGGGGGTCCGGCACCCGCCACTCCGCCTGAGGGTCCGAGACCTGTCGCTCCACCTGGGGGTCCGGCGCCCGCCGCTCCGCCTGAGGGCCCGAGACCTGTCGCTCCATCTGGGGGTCCGGCGCCCGCCGCTCCGCCTGAGGGTCCGAGACCTGTCGCTCCGCCTGGGGCTCCGGCGCCCGCCGCTCCGCCTGAGGGCCCGAGACCTGTCGCTCCATCTGGGGGTCCGAGACCTGTCGCTCCGCCTGGGGGGTCCGGCGCCCGCCGCTCCGCCGCTTGAGGGCCCGAGACCTGTCGCTCCTCCTGGGGGTCCGGCGCCCGCCGCTCCGTCCGCCTGAGGGCCCGAGACCTGTCGCTCCGCCTGGGGGTTCCGGCGCCCGCCGCTCCGCCTGAGGGCCCGAGACCTGTCGCTCTCCATCTGGGGGTCCGGCGCCCGCCGCTCCGCCTGAGGGCCCGAGACCTGTCGCTCCCTCCTGGGGGTCCGGCGCCCGCCGCTCCGCCTGAGGGCCCGAGACCTGTCGCTCCTCCTGGGGGTCCGGCGCCCGCCGCTCCGCCTGAGGGCCCGAGACCTGTCGCTCCTCCTGGGGGTCCGGCGCCCGCCGCTCCGCCTGAGGGCCCGAGACCTGTCACTCCGCCTGGGGGTCCGGCGCCCGCCGCTCCGCCTGAGGGCCCGAGACCTGTCCTGTCGCTCCATCTGGGGGTCCGGCGCCCGCCGCTCCGCCTGAGGGCCCGAGACCTGTCGCTCCGCCTGGGGGTCCGGGCGCCGTCGCCCCGCCTGGGGGCACGATGCCCGTCGCCCCGCCTGGGGGCACGATGCCCGTCGCCCCGCCTGGGGGCACGATGCCTGTCGCCCCGCCCTGGGGGGCACGATGCCTGTCGCCCCGATGCCTGTCGCCCCGCCTGGGGGCACGATGCCTGTCGCCCCGCCTGGGGGCACGATGCCTGTCGCCCCGCCTGGGGGCACGGTGCCTGTCGCCCCGCCTGGGGGCCCGGTGCCTGTCGCCCCGCCTGGGGGCCCGGTGCCTGTCGCCCCGCCTGGGGGCCCGGTGCCTGTCGCCCCGCCCGGGGGCCCGGTGCCTGCCGCTCCGCCCGGGGGCCCGGTGCCTGCCGCTCCGCCCGGGGGCCCGGTGCCTGCCGCTCCGCCCGGGGGCCCGGTGCCTGCCGCTCCGCCCGGGGGCCCGGTGCCTGCCGCCTGCCGCCCGGGGGCCCGGTGCCTGCCGCTCCGCCCGGGGGCCCGGTGCCTGCCGCTCCGCCCGGGGGCCCGGTGCCTGCCGCTCCGCCCGGGGGCCCGGTGCCTGGCTCCGCCCGGGGGCCCGGTGCCTGCCGCTCCGCCCCGGGGGCCCGATGCATGTCGCCCCGCCCGGGGGCCCGGTGCCTGCTGCTCCGCCCGGGGGCCCGGTGCCCTGCTGCTCCGCCCGGGGGCCCGGTGCCTGCTGCTGCTCCGCCCGGGGGCCCGGTGCCTGCTGCTCCGCCTGGTGGCCCGCTGCCTGCTGCTGCTTCGCCTGGTAAACCGATGTGCCTCTGCCCGGAGTCCTGCCCGATGTGCCTCTGCCCGGTGTGCCTCTGCTCGATGTGCCTCTGCCCGGAGTCCTGCCCGATGTGCCTCTGCCCGGAGTCCTGCCCGATGTGCCTCTGCCCGGAGTCCTGCCCGATGTGCCTCTGCCCGGAGTCCTGCCCGATGTGCCTCTGCCCGATGTGCCTCTGCCCGATGTGCCTCTGCCCGGTGTGCCCTCTGCCCGGTGTGCCTCTGCCCGGTGTGCCTCTGCCCGGAGTCCTGCCCGATGTGCCTCTGCCCGATGTGCCTCTGCCCGATGTGCCTCTGCCCGGTGTGCCTCTGCTCGATGTGCCGCTGCCCGGAGTCCAGCCCGGTGTGCCGCTGCCCGGAGTCCAGCCCGGTGTGCCGCTGCCCGGAGTCCAGCCCGGTGTGCCGCTGCCCGGAGTCCTGCCCGGAGTCCTGCCCGGTGTGCCAGTCTTTGATATCCCGCCAGTTACCAGACCCGGGCGGTGGAACATTTTGCCCAGCTAGGACTGTTTGGAGCGTCCTGAGGGCCGCTCCTTGAGGGGGGGGTACTGTTAGGAATGGACTGGCCAGCAATGGTGGGACTCACCTGCCTTTTGATCTGCAGTACCAGGGCTGGCCAGCGGGTGCTCCCAGCAATCAGAGACTCAACCTTTCAGCCAGCTAACACCTGGAACTGATGATACTGGGGTATTTAAGGGATGGCCAGACTTGCAGACTCTGCCTTGGTGTTGTGTTTGTCCTGGGCCCTGTATCTGTCCTGCATCCTGTTTCTGTTCCTTTGCTGACTTCTCCTGCTCTGATCCTGGCTTGTGACCCTGACCATCCTTCTGTCTGACCCTCTGTACTACGCTGCTTGCTACCTGCTGAACCTGGCCTGTGACCCCGACCATTCTCTGCTTGCTCCCCCTGTACCTACCTGCCCATTGATATTGACCCGGCCTGCCTGACGACGCTTGCTTGTATATACTGTTATCTGTGGGTGGTTGGTTTGGTTTGTTTGCACTGTGTTATGTTTTAGTATTGCACTGCATTTATGTTTGTATTGTTAGTGTTAATAAATTGTATTGTTTATCACATATCTGAAGTCTGCGTTTCCCTGCATCAGTCACACACCTCTGGTCATACCTGGGAGCCCTGACAGACATTCCTCAGGTCAGCTGTCACTTATGTTTCATATCATCATGGATTATGAAGATATTGGTTTTAATTCAGAGTCTGCCCGAGGTCCCGCCCAAAAACAGGGTATTGGCCAGTACTCAGAGCCACCCCCCTCGATGGGGGACTTTAAAAAACACAGGCTGTAGGCCTGAAGCTAAGCTAAACACATCTCCCAAAAACCATCAATATACCACCTGGGGAGACCCTTTGCAACGTGGATCTGCTTACAAACCAAGGCGTATTGGCAAGTAACTTAACCCTGTAACTTCCTTCCTATTATCTCTTTGCTGTATCTTTATATGCATATATATATATCTTAGTGACATCTTTGTAAATATTTTATTGCACCTGTTTGACTCTTTTAGTAATAAATCTTTCTTTCTGCAAGTGTTAAACTGTTTTTAAGCACTTACTTGCAGTTCACAAATTCCTGCCTTTTGAAGAGACGCTACTGTGTTTGTTTAATCCTCTGCCCAATTGGCCTGCGGTGACCGTATTGGACAGGCGACTTTTCAATCATTATAGCATATATTTGATAGAGTTTCCTTCTTCTCTGATAAAAGACGGTGGTGGCAGTGTGAAGGGGTTAGTTGCGTCATTAACCCGACCCAGTAACAAGCGCATTCAGGCTGCAGACACCGATTGTAGTCCATTAGCTGGACAATCGCTGTGTAGGGTGCAGCTGGGTGTGGCCTTGTTACACGCGTCACACCACGGTTTTAGATCGGCCGGTCCTTCGGTCACGAGTTTGGTGAGAAGGTCTGGGGTCTGACACCGCGGGCATGACGTATTGTTGGTCGCGGTCGTGGGATTGTCGCATGATTGGTGGCAGCGATCCGGTGATCATGACAAAAGGTACCAGGGACATCTCATGGGGGCCCCTACTGACCCCGGGCCCTCAGGCAGTGCCCGAGTTTCCAAATGGTCAGTCCGCCCCTGCACATTATTATTATTATACAGAATTTATATAGCGCCAACAGTTTGCTCAGAGCTTTACAATATAACAGTAGATAATACAGCAACAATACAATTCAATACAAGAGGGATAGGAGGGCCTGATCCTGGGAGCTTACAATCTAAGAGTTCACTATAGACATACACTGGACACTAGGAAATTAAGTTGTGTAATGATTGCAGAGCCACAATAGGGACACAATACTCACAAAACTCCAGGGATGTCAGGAAGCAGGGTAGTTTGAAAGCAGAGAACTGCATGATGACAATGGCTGGTGATATATAGTATAGACATTGTATTATCTGCTTTATTTATTCATTTATTTAGTCCAATGCAAAAACGGGTTTTTCTGTTTTTGAACAAGACATTGATCAGTAACTCAGGGTCCTGGGCCAGCAGTAGATTGTTGTCACCATGTATCATCTATCCATGTTGTAAATGACAGGAAACAGATCCGGTCAGCCAGGAGGAAGGTGTCGGGGGTCAGAGAAGATACTGGGCAGCATCTGGTAGAAGCTTACAGACGGGAACAGTCATTGTGTAATTAATCGATGTGACATCTTTGGAATGTAAATCTCAGATAGTATTTCCAGGCAGATTCTCTTTATCAAGCAGTCTGATGTGCAGTTATAACACTGCCAGCTAGGTGATGTCATGGTAATAAATGATAAAAATATTTATTGGATGAATGGGCTTGTTCCCTGTACACCAGGTATATAAAATCATGGCTTGAAGAATTATCTAAAAGATACATTGGGGTTGATCTACTAAAGGCAAATAGACTGTGCACTTTGCAAAATGCAGTTGCGTTCTACAAGAGCAGTTGCTCCAGAGTGTAGTAAATGAGCAGAAGTTTTGCTGATTACCATCATCCAATCATGTGCAAACAAAATGCTGTTTTTTTTTCAATTTCCTTTCACGCGATTGGGTATTCTTTGTAGGGTGGAGCTTTACATCATTTGCTAAGCTCTGGAGCAACTGCACTTTGCAAAGTGCACAGTCTACTTTACTTTAGTAAACCAACCCCAATGTATCTAAGCAGACAGATTTCACCCGTAAACCTCTGATATTTAGCAGGAAATTAAGCTACAGACATAAGACACCAGTTTTGGAAAGAATTGGCACCATCTGAAATACTGAGGTTGT